ATACAAACTTACAATGCTATACTAGTAGATTTGGAATCAGAAGGTTAAGAGGAAAGAGAGAGAGAGAGGGGCGCTAAAATTGGCTCTCTGTAGCTGTGTCTAATAATACATCCAAACTCCAGACCAAAATCATGCAAAGAATGGATGATGAAGCCTAGGCTTCCCGCTTAGGCCGGTTGCGAGTTCGTGAATGTGGAAGCACAGGCTGCAAAGGCTGCAATTCCTCCTCTAAAGTAATGTCAGCAGTATCATCATCATCATCATCATCATCATCATCATCCTCATAGTCATAGTCATAGTCTTCTTCCTCACCGTCATCACTGTCATCATCCTCTTCTTCTGCTTCCTCTGCTTCCTTGATTGCTTGCATAATTTCAAGCTTTTCCACAAAATTGTTGAAGTCAAGAATTTTCCAAGTACAATCTCACTCTTAAGACACATAAATATAGCATTCTTGGATCATTATTCACACATTCTAGACGTCTCAAACTGAAGCCAGTCCTCCCACTAAATAAAACTAACCTCAGAAAGAACAAGCAGAAGTAGGGGTAAATCAAAATTGCCTCTTCCCATAAAAGAATACAGCAATTTGCATTCAAAAACTCAAAACTGCAACAATTAGAAACAAGTAGTCTGGCACATCTTGAACATTTTAGACACCTCAAATGGCATAAAAGTTCATTTTCCCCATCGAATCACAAAGCAACTTGAGACTCCAAGATTAGAAATCTAGCCCATGAAATAATATGTCATTCATATACAATCACAATGGCTAAAAGGACAATAATGGTTTGTCTTATTCACCATTTCACATGTTTTTTCACTAACATCACACAATGAAATCACTTCCCAAGTTACTGAAATTACATCGTTCTATAGAATCAAAGATTAAAGCGAATTTTTTTCATGTTCAAGAACCAAGATAGACATCTAAGACACCAAAAAACACACTAAAACATCAAACCAAGACAACCCATATAAGAAAAGAGTAAGAATTTAATTATTTTGTACCTCCTCAAAATAGTCTTGGTCAAGCTTATCAGCAATTTTAATAGAAGTAAAGACAGTAGCAGCAATGAGAGAGAGAGGGAGTAGGAAAGCCAACGCGTAGCTGTTGGCGTTTGGTCCTGCACGTGTCACCACTGTCAAACCTCTCCTCCTCCTCCTAATCCTCAGGTCATCCGTGAAGCGAATCACTGGTGAGGTTGGCAGGTGATGGGGTTTAAAGAAGGCCGATGTAGGTGTGGTAGAGAAAGGAAGTGGCAGGGTAGGAGAGAAGGGGATTGGGATGCTGGCCATGTTTGTTTTTGGTGGCAGAGTTGGACTGTTGGAGTGGATATTTTTGCATATTTTTATTAAGTAGGAAGTAAATTATAAATTAGTCCCTTTATTTTTTAAAAATGAATTAATTAGTTCTTTTTAAAAAAATTAATTATTTAATTTCTTAATAATATTGTTTTCTACTAATTTAATATTACTTTATTTAAAAATGTCTTTTGTCCTCATTAATTCTTCCATATTTTTCATTCATTTTTTTTCTTTTTATATTTGTTTAAAAAAAAAGAGAGAGAAAGAACAAAAATGACTAAGTTATCAAAAAAATTAAAAAATATAAAGAGTATAATAATTAATTTTTGAACAAAAAGAACTAATTAATTTATTTTTCAAAGCTAGAGGGACTAATTTATAATTTACTCTTATGGGTAATTTTTGCTTTTCTTTTTAATTTGTCTTGCTTTCATTTATGATGATTTGAAGTTGCAAGTCAGAGCATGTAGCATGTGGTGTATTCTACCATGTTACTATACATAGTAATAATAATAATAAGCAATTGTTCCAAATAAAAATTTAGAAAATAAAATACTATATAATATTCTTTAAAAAAATGGTTCTTGAAAATATATTTTAAAAATTTGTGTAAATTAAAAGCACATTTGACATGATTAATGGAAAATAACTATTAACTTTATTCAAAAGTTATTTTTTTTATAAATAACTTATGACAAAAATGAATTAAGTTAAAAATGTGTTTGGTAAAAAAAATTATTCAAAACAACTTTTGTAAAGAATCTGGTAGTATAAGTCAAAAGTTATTTTATTTTTTTTTAACTTTTGATTATAAAAAAATTTTGGATCAATTTTGTAAAAAAAAATATTTTAAGTCAAAAACTATTTCTAACTAAGCATATTTTTTAAATTTGTTTTGAATAAAAAATGGAAAAATTAATTTAATTTAAGTTATAAAAGCTGTACCAAACATATTAGGTCATATAATTAGAATTTTGATTTGGTTTTCTTTTTTTAAAGTAAGCATGATTGATTTATATATTCAGAATTTTTATTTTATTAAGCCATTCATTCTCTTTTACGTATCATATATATTTCAAATCAATAACACAATATTTGCATGAGATAACAATATTATGTGAAGGTAACATGACATATTATGCATGCGAATTATGTATTTAAATCTCAAATTAGATATATTCATTTTTCATCCTTTCTTGCTTAAATAATTTGAGATATTGGAGATAAATTGAATATTCTTTCATTTGATAGGAAACTTGATGTGAAAGGTATAATAGTAAAATAAGTGAAATGTTAGAGTTTCTTGAGGGATAAAAGAGTGGTTAGGGTTGGTTTTGTTATGTTGAAAGTCAATGTCCAATTTGTTTATCGCAATTCCAGTATTGATGGTTGAAAACCGAGATATTATTGTTTCATTATATTTATTAATTATGTTGAAACCAATGTTTTATTTGTCTATTAAAAACCCAACTTTGATTATTGAATACCGAGAAAATATTCTTTCATTACATTTTAAATTCTTATATGTGAAATCTTCTTGTAAAATTGAAATTTTAGTAAAATAGACATGGAAATTTAGAAAAAAAAAAAAAAAAAGATATATATATATATATATATATATATATATATATATATATATATATATATATATATTTTTTTTTTTTTTTTTTTTTTTGTAGTGCAAAATATATATTTTATATAAATAAACTTTACTTCAATATAATAAATATGTATTGGAATTGACTAGGCTTTCACAATTGCAATCCATTGTCAAAGATATATAAGAGACAAGGGTCACAGAATTGACCTTTCCCAAGCTCATGTGCGGCACTTGCTCTCTTTTTCTATAAGACAAACCAAGTCGGTCTTCCTCATACAAAGTTGCTAAACAAGAAAGACATACACAAGAGATATAAAAACTCTTTGTATTGCTTTCTAAAGCTTACAATTCTAAAGATACAATCTCTTAGATTTGTGGATATCTAGGTGTCTTGGCCAAGTGAAGGCCTCACCTATTTATAGCCTTTCACCTCCTCAATGGATGGCTAGGATCTATTTAATCTAATGGCTATAATTGTTTATCTAGAAATATCCTATCTAGATATTTACGATGAACTATCTAGATATGTACATGTTAGATTAATGAGGGACTCTCTAGAATATGTCTAGATTTCTCTAAATCATTCTTAAAACTTTCTCATTGCTCCATATTGTTCAAGAAGCTTCTAGACTTATTTAGTATTCTCTATAAAAATCCCTTTTTTAGGCTATAACACAAGTCTGTTTCTTGCTAGCCACATGTTCAAAATGAAACTATGAATTATTTAAGTCATGCATGGCTAATGATCAGTGCTAACCTGCCCTTGGTATAATGGTTTCAACCCTACCAAAATTGAATTTTAGAACGAAAAAGATGTCTGCAAACCAATATTGTCCAAACCATAGCCATGCTTCTAAAACCCTAAGGACAACACTGCCATCACCATGAAGTTCTGGATACCTACAGGAATGAATAATATATTGTCGCCATGCGATCAATATTCATCTCATAACTTGCCAAAAGAAGACAGGAACCACCTCACAACAGCTAATAACAGCAGCATGCATCTTTATAGAGGGATACGTACATACTTTTATAACTGAGCTGAAATTGCATACCGGTAGGTATTTAGAGAGACATTCAAGATAGCAGACTAATGTACGTAACCATGTTCTAATATTGAGAACGCCAGGCACAAAATAGCCATGCATGCGCTCGAAATAGAAACTGCAGAAAACACAATCTCTAGACCAACATAGCCTGCACCATATATATCCTTCGTAAAATGACAAGGATAACAGTGTCATTACCATCCACAGCTTGATCGATCGAGTAGTACTTGATGTTGAGAGATTTGAGGTTTGTAAAAACCTTTCTGATGCTGGGGATGGCAGCTTGAGGAGTGCATTTGGTCGGGTTTTTGCCAAAGTGGGAGAGATTTTTCATCGTTCTTGCTTGGTAATGGCCAATGGGCATCTGACAGTGACTGTTTCGGTTTTGGAAACGAGGAAATGGAAGTTTTTTGAGACAGAGGAGCAGCGAATGAGGGTTTTGGGGTCATCTTTAACGTTTGACAAGATTTTAAGGATCAAGTCATCTGGGAGTTTCTTGAATTTCTCTGCTAATCTTTCAGATCTTCTTACAGGGATATTAAGGTTGTCACATTGCTTGGCCGATTTGGATTTTCTCATTTCTTGAAGATGAGATCACAGATACTGACGGCAAATGGTGAACCTCTTACTGAGAAAGAGACTCCGGTAAATTCTTTTTTTCCCCCTTAATTTTTCAATCTTCCCCCTAAAAAATTCTATGAAAATGTAAAGGTAGATAATGAACTTCCAATGACAAAAGAACAAACTTTTTCTACTGTCAACACTGTGGTTTCTATACATAAGAATAACATGTTGAGTTTTCTAGTTGCAAAATAAACTGGCCATGCATACAAAAGTGCAAGAATCCTCCTAAGGTAAACATACACAAACGCTTGGATCAGGATCGGGAAGAACCAATTATAATACACAACACACCGCAATGAGAAGCCTGCTTGCTCTTTCTTTCCTCTCCTGATTCTTCCCTTCAGCCAAACCAGACCAAAATGATCCAATATTCAAACATGAATGAGAAGAAGAAGCAATCATGCCAGGAATATGGATCATGCTTGCACGGGCAATCCTGGAGGAGAAAGAGGTGGAACAGCTGCTTCATGAGATGCAGTAGTTTCTAAACCCAAAACCTTCCTAGCCGTTGCTTGCTTCTCTCCACTTTTGTTGGCCTTTCTTGAATGCATTGATTCGGAGGAAACTGCTCTTGACGTGTTACTACTATCGACCGATGCTAAAAACTTGTCCCTTGAAAGTGTTGTTGGGGCAGATTGAATAATTGAGCTGAAGACACCTGACTCTCTTAAGCCCTGAATTATGGCCTGAAATATAAAAGCAAACACTAACCAATAAGGAAATCACCATAGCAATTGATGCACACACTTCAGATGCATTTGGCCTTGAGCCTGAAGATTTTCACATCATTTTCCCTGGATGTAAAGGACCAGCTAATTGATTGCACACATCACAATTAATTTTCTCGGCTTCCACATGACAATTTCCACCTTCTTAATTCTTAAGCTATGAATTCCATTTGATCTGTTTTTTCATTTATTTATTAGGAATTTAGCTATGGATTCCATTCAGAAGGAAGTTACTAAGCTTGTATTAGTAATCCCTCATATGTCAGGATCACGAAGGCATATTACCAGGTAAAATCCAAATGCTTTCTCCTTCCTTACTTATTTTTTGTGTTTTGGTAATTAGCTCCCCCTTGATTCATAGATGAACAGTTGAAAAAAAAAGGTAATTATATTAGTGGTTGTATCTTTTTGGCTTAGTTTTGCGAAGATGTCATAGTCTTGCTTACCATGGGAGAATGTATGCGAGTTAAAACACCCTTCCTCAGAAGTTTCAATTTCAAGTCTTTGTCACCCCACACGACATGTTCATGATACCTAAAACAGAATAAAACACCATCAAGTATTGTTATGTTTCCATAAACATGTGAAAGCCAACAGTCCTCCCAGAAATAAGAAAAAGAAGCTTCTTACCAGTTTCGCATTTCCTCCTCAGTTGCAGTTGATGCAATTATGAATGCCTGCAATAATTTTCGCTTGATAAGATGAAGATTTATGAAAAAAAAAAAAATGGAATTCAAAACAAACTAATTGCTTGAAAACAATGTTTTAGTTATAACCTTAAACCCCTTTATTCTGCTATCGACTTCAGCTATAAAGAAATGAAATAAACCAAAGTAATTATCTCTTGTTCACAAAAAAGTGCCATTACCAAAACGCTAACCAAGAAGCAGTTATCTAGGGCTTACTTCCCTAGTTCAACTAAGAATCAAGAGGTATGAGAAAATTTGTAAAATCTAAAGCACCCACACCATCAGCATTCCCTCAGTGAAAATTGGTTCTATGATACAAACACTTGATTAAAGGAACTCAGATCTTATTTCTACGAAACAGACTGACTTTCAATTTTTGCACAATGCACTGACATCATAAGCCATAAACTACATGCCATACCATATCTGCATAATGCAGCAGGGAAACCCTTCTTCTCCATGGTATCATAAATAGTCAACTATGCATAGTGGCAGCCACTCAGTGGCTATAGCATAATACAACTTGGCCACCCAGTCACTGCTTTATATCAAATAAACAATGAACAAGAGGTAGCTCACATCACATCACCATTATCAAAAACAACATTACTTGACACCAATCCAACTTGGTCAGCCACTCACTGGTTTTGTAAGGCATAAAGAATGAAGAAGAGGTGGCCTGACATAACCATTATCAAAACCATCATTACTTGAGTCATATATCATTGTCAGCGATTTTTAGGTGGTGCCCCTGTGTGCTACACTGCTACTATGCACATAGGAACACAGAGCTAAGAAATCCACCCCCTCAGGCATAACTCAATAATATTGAACATGACTTTTGAAGCAAAAAGAGAAAGAAGGGATCCAGAACAAAATCATCCTAAGACATTCCAGAGGTCCATGTCCAAAATGGTTTCTCTTTCGAAACTAAATTCTTCAAAGTAAAATAAAAAAAGGCACCATGTTCTACATGAACAAATTAATCTAGTTCGAGTCCCCTGAGCAGCCGTGCTCAAATTGGAGATCGTAATTTTTATAATCATATTCCTACTGCTACTTGTCATGAAAAGGTGGCAGCAGAAATGAGCAAACAAGATAAATATTAAGAGAAGGATCTAAACTCACAGATCTGTCAAAATCCAACATAAAGCATCTTTTGACATCTTCCTTAGTAGGCTTGCAGCCACACCGATCGCGTCTAGAAGTCAAGTCAGAAAATTTGGAATACGTGTAATGTAGAACAGCAGCCTCTTCCAATTTCACCTCACTGACAAAATTTGGATACCAAATATAGAATGACTATTGTCAGGAAGCTAAAAACTGCTTGTCTCTACAATTATCAATTAACAGCTAGCAGTGCAATAAAAATTTCAAGAGCTCAAATTGAGGAAAATAACATTAGCATAAGTTGTAAATCAAGAAACAAAAGGAGGAATTTAACAAATTTTAAACTAATGCTATTGCTCACAAATTACTGACCTATGTCTATACATGCAAATGGACATGTATCCCACAAAAAGGAAGAATCTATGCTAAACACATAAACATGCATGCCAAGGTTTGTGCACATTATGATTGATGCTATATACCCTCTGTTTTCATGAGCTGGATCAGATTGCTATTTTCAATTCAGAATCCAAATAAGATGATACAATTAACATTACTTTGGGGTTTTCATATAGTTGTGCCATCTGTGTGCACCATTAGGACGTAGATGATCTTGTACTCGAGCAGCTGACTTCCCATTTCCATAAGTTAAGAAATAATTTGGATTCCCACGAGTAGATTCCTTGTACATTCCGAAGTACGTATCCTTTGGGAGATGGTCATAATTCTTCTTGAACATTGACACCTGTTAGCATAGATACATGAATACATGGCATAGAGTAAGCATTTATTTCCAAAGACAGGCAACATTGATAATACACAGAATTGTTCTAAACAATAAAAATACAAAATCTAGCAAGTTTCTTTTTTTTTTTTTAGGAACTAGAAAAATGTAGGACACATCATTGCTTCAAAATTTCTTAAAAAATAGAAGTCATCCACGACCATATAATCCCTTTCCAACTCTTAAATTTAAATCATTAGAAGCAATGTCTCTCAAGTGTCAAGCAGGAAGCAAGTTGAACATAAGCCCAGAACAGAAATACTTCTACCTTTAACCATGTATAATGATCAAATACATTTGCAATTGATATAAAACTTTAAAAAGCACAGAATATAACCAGACCAGAGCACCAAAATACAGCATACGTTAAATTCATCATATTCCAAGTCAAGCTGCAAAACTCTGGATGGATAGTTAAAGAGATTTACCTCACCAAAAGGATCCTCAATATCATCTCGTTCAACACTGCTCTCCTGACAAATAAAGCATCAACACTAATTAAAATAAAAAATAAAAAAAATAGTTGAGAAATATTACTAGCACTACACTTCTAAATTTCCAAATCAATTGGCATTATCACAAACAAGACATTCCACACAGTGTGACTCACATAATTTGGAAATACAACCATATCTACATTTCCAGGAACATCAAGCAGCAACTGCCTCAAAGAATATTCACGGGCACCGGCAGGGTGAATCAGTTCATCAGTGTCAAGATGAAGTATCCAGTCCATTCCTGCATCCTAAAGTTTTGCTGTTTGTGAGAACTGAGAATGTTCACATTACTAGAAATAGGAAGAGTACTGCTATAGATGAGTAAATGGTGGTGCGTAATGCATACCCTTGCCATGACAATTGCCATTTCCATGTTGAGAGATTGCTTCACAAACAGCTCATAATTGCAAGGTTTGTAAAAGAAACTGGACAGCCATGTCTCATTCCATATCCGACTAATTAAGAAAAAGGAGCATAAAAACAATAAAGTTAAAAATACACCCTAAAGAAGACAGAAAACAGAAATCATGTTGAACATTTTCAAGATGATTAAGTTTGAATACAGCAACAAATTGAATGTTTCAAACAGAATAGACACTAACAAAAATCTAGAAAGAGAATCATCAACATTAAATAACTTTAAGCCATTGTGAATCTCAACGAAATATGGGTCCTCTTAAGCCATTTCTAACTGTATATATCCTCAAAAAATTTCCAACTAAACTTCTGCTAAAGCAGAAAAGGCGGTGCTGGATGAAAAAAGATCAGGAAAAATACTCCCTGTTTTGCTACAAAATGAAACAGAAATGCATGAATCATCCAAATATGAAAACCAGCTGACCTTTTAGCCTGTTGCTCCTCTAGCTCTCTTGTCCTATAAATCAATTTTACCCCCTGGGAATCAACAAATAGTTCGTAACAAATAATTTAGAACAAATCACATGAGAAGAAAAAACTTGAGACACTCCAATATAACAAGAAAACAAACAAAAATAAATTAGTAACAGCAAAGTTCATGTTAACTCACAGGAATGGATTCCAAAACTTTGGACACATTAGGAGATGCTGCCTTTCCTTCCACAAAAAGGAAAAATGTTGTCACCCCCATAACCTTATGATAAAACATCCACGGTAGAATCTGATCTAAACCAGCTGAAGTACTTGTTGTGATACATATCTGCACATTGAGTAACAAACCAATAAAATGTCAGATAAAATGATACAACTTAAAGCCAATTGCCACACTTGATTACGTCTTTTATTTCTCAAGTTCAAAATAACATTAACATCAGACAGAACTTTCAAAGCTTAAAACTTTCCCTCATTTCCTTCTCTCATCAACCAAAGTAGCAAACAGATCACAGATAATTTAACTCATAAAATGGCCATAAACCAAATCCTATTCAACAAACAAGAAGAGTAAATCACTCAGTTCCGTTTCCTGATTATCTTGCAAACCAGGATCAGCCAAGTTCACATATTCACAACCAAAATAAAAATGCCAAAAAGAAAACATAAAAACCATATAGTTAGCCATTAATTATTCATAACTACAGCTAAACTCTCACAGAATCTCCCAAAATTCAATCAACAGAAAACCCAAAAGCCAGAAACAGATCCATCACCAAACCTCTCAAGCCAACAGGACCCCAAACACAAAACTCAAAACCAATCAAGATCCATTAAAATTCAACAAAAATCAAAAGACCCCATCAAAATTCAGCAAAAACCATATCAACCCATAAACAAAACAATTCAAAACAAACCTTAGGCCTCAAGTTATCTTGAAAATCAAACTTCCAATCACGAAAATAAGGAAAAGAAGGTGCCCCGCTACGTCCAAGACTAGAACAGTCAGATGATTTGTGAGGTTTAGGCGATAAAACTGAGGATTCCATGCCAGGGAAGATCTCATGGTTTTGAATGTGAGACCCTTGTGGGGCCCAACGAGAATTGGCTGTTGTGGGGTCCATCATGAAGCCTGAATTGCCTTTCCATTGGAGGACAAACGCTAAGGCTGCAAGAGAAAGAGGGAGGAGAGTTAGGAGGAGGATTAGTCTTGAAGTGAAGGATTGAGTGGAGAAGGTGGTTGAGGTGGTGGTGGAGGAGCGGAGGGGAGCGTGGAGGTGGTAATTGGGCATGGTGGTTGTCAGGAAGAGACAGTGTGGCTCTCTCTCTAGAGTAAGAAACAGGGGAGAGATGGAAAGGACTCTTGGTAGTTAAGTCATAGGGGAATTTAATTTTAATTTTTGGTGGGAGAGATTAGAGTGTGTGAGATTAGGTTTTTTTTTTTTTTTTCCAATTCAATAAAAAAATATTTTTGAATCAGTTTAATAGTAAATATATGCATAAAAATACATTAAATATAAATTTGTTTTTTTTTCCTAAATACATTCTTACATTGGCTTACAAATACATTGAATATGATTTTTTTAAAAAAAATTGAAGGGTATTATTTTTTTAATTTCTAAAAATTAAAGTGGTTTTCCGGAGAGTATTATTTTTTTATTATTTAAAAATTTATCACAGAAGGGTGTTTTTAAAATCATTAAAAAATATAATTTTTATTGACATATAAGTTAATTTGATCATATCTTTATTTAAAAAAAAAAAAAAAACTTTGACAATTCTACCGAACAATAATAATAAGAAGATTATAAAGTTATATATGTATAAAAATTATACTAAAAAAAATCTTACTAAAACATGTAACTTTTGTGTAATAATTTTATAAAACATATATATGATAAATAAATATTTATATAATACCATTTATCTCTTTTTATATAGATTAATAATTTTACGGAGTGTTAGTTTTTAAAATTTGTCAACGAAGAATGAAATATATCTTACTCCTATTAAATTGATAAAATACATTATTTAGACTATAAGATAATAGCTAATTGTGGTATAAAATAATTTTTATTTCAACTATCCATTTAAGTTTATATATCCAAATATATATATGAAAGCATTAACTTTTTTAAATCTTTGATTTGATTAAACTATTTGATCCCATCAAAATATCTCTAAATACATGAATATATGAAAAGACAAAACATCTCTTATTGAAATAACAAAAAGATAACAATATTATTTTTTAAAAAATAATTGGATATATAATATATGGAATTAACCATACAAGAGAAAACAAGACCAATCTCTTAGGTAATAAAAGATAAAAATATTAATTTTTTGAAATAAACATTTTAATAAAAACTAGCTAGGGGTGAGCATTCGGTTAAACGGTTTGGTTAAGCATAATTCGGTTCGGTTTTCGGTTAACCAAAGTAGAAAAAATAAAAACCGAAACCGAACCAAAATTAATTCGGTTAATTCGGTTTGTAACCAAATTATTTCGGTTCGGTTTTGAAATAATTCGATTTAACCGAATTTTTTCATTACTTCTCCATTTCGGACTTTAGACAGTTCTCCCAAAACTTTCATTTATTTTTTCTTTGCCTAAGCCGAGTAATTAGCAATGCCGAGCTAACAAGTAACCACTTTCTTTTCTAAAAAGAATTCAACACCAAAAAAAAAAATTCACAATTAAAGTCAAATTTAAACACCCAACAATCCAACATGTTTAACATTCATATATCGAAAAGGAAACAAGTCATGCAAAATAATTGTTGATGAAACAAAGATCCATATACAATACAATCGACATTAAACAACAAAAGCATGGTAGAATGTCCGTTCTCATTTCTCAACAAAGAGGACAAGACACGAGCTCTCTTCTTGTCCTAAAACAAACGATTTCGTGCATTTGCAATACCTTTACTCCTTCGGGATCCGCAATAAAATGAAATCCCAACAAACACTCAAACTCAATGCTCCCGAAAGAGGATATTAACATGCTTCGAAAATCAAAGGCGGTAGGCCTACCGCCCATCGTCGGTAGGCGGGAGACACCAAGGCGGTAAGCCTACTCGCCCACCGCCGTAGGCCTACTCGAGTGGGCGGTAGGCCCATGCGGCCACGCCGCATGGGCCTACCGCCGATGGACATGAGGCGATAGGCTACTACCTACTATGGTTCTCTTCTCTAGTTCAATGAAAATGAAAATTTACAATTCTCACTTACCGACTAAACTTGCACAAACAACGAAATAAAAATCAAACTTAGAAAGTAGAAACTTAGTAACTTACACATATCATTCATCACGCCAAAACGTCATCAACCCATCAAGATTCAACCATTTGTAATAGAGGTAGTGGCAAGTGGTAACTCCGAAAATATAAGATAAAAAAAATTAAACTTTTAATATTAATATAAAGGAAAGAAATAACAAATGAAAAGGTAAGAGTTATAGAAATTACCATCTTGCATTTTCTCAACATCTTGTAAATTTTCTTCAATAATAATTGGTGTCGATGAATTTTTAATCCAATCTCGAGCACATATAAGAGATTCCACTAAGCTAGGAGTCAAAGAACTCCTAAAGTAGTCAAGAACCCTTCCTCCAAGTGCTAAATGTCGATTCCGAGGAAACAAGTAGAAACGAGGAACCGCCAATATATCCCTAGCCATTTGTGAAAGGATGGGAAACCGAGGAGAATTGGTTTTCCACCATTCTAAAATCTTAAAATTAGCACTATTATTTTCAGCACCTTCACAAAGATATTTATCCAACTCCGTTTTATTTCCTCCACCTCCAATATCACACTTGTATTTTTCAAAACGCATCATTATCTCTCTTTTTATTCTAATTTCTTCTTCATCAATCATTTCTTCATTTGCACAACCCACATCTATTTCCCGACTCCCACTACCTCGCCAATTTCACCTTGAGATATTGACGAACAACAATAGAAATCATACATAGCATACATAGATTCCTTGACAATATTTGACATTCTTTGACCCTCCAAATCACCATACAATTCATTGATTGAAAATTCAATAAATACAAGTTTATGCCTAGGATCAAGTATTGTCGCAATATAAATCAACTTATTCATTTTCTTAATATCCCCCCAATACTTCTCAAACTTTTCTTTCATTTTATTGGCCAATGTAAAATCATCTAAATCCCCACTTCGTTGCCATTTTTTCAAAACATGTTCGAGAGCATAAATCTCTTCAAAATAAATATTTGAAGTCACATACAAAGAACCCGAAACACGCAAAGTGAGATTGTAAAAAATTTTCAACATGCCTACCAACTTCTTACAAGACTTCCAATCATCAACATTAGGTGGCCCAACAACATTATCACCATGATCTACATCAAATTCACTCCTATATAAAGGATCAATTTGCTCATATCTCTTAAAAGCTCTCTCAAACTTTAGAGCCGACTCTAACATCAAGTATGTTGAATTCCACCTAGTAGCAACATCTAGTTGTAACAAACTCCTAGAATCAATTTTCTCAAGTTGTATGCATTCCTTAAATCTTTTCAACCTAGCCGGAGATTGCCTCACAAACCTAACGGCCGATCGAATACGAACGATTGAAGGATTAAAATGTTTTAACCCATCAACAACAACTAGATTCAAAGTATGTGCCATACACCTCATATGAATGAATTCACCATCTAAGATGTTATAACCCCAATTCTTAATCACATCTTTTAAGTGCCTAATTACCACATCATTCGAACTCGCATTATCAACCGTAACACTAAAAACCTTCTCAATTCCCCAATCAATCAAGCATTTCTCAATGGCAATACCTAAATCTACTCCCTTATGACTATCAATCGGACAAAAATTCAAGATCTTTTTATGCAACTTCCAATCATTATCAATAAAATGAAGTCGTTAAACACATGTAATTGATTCTTTGAATAGATGTCCATGTGTCCATAGTAAGGCTAATTCTTTGACTATTTTGTTTCAAAAATTGCTTCAAATTTATTTTCTCATCTAGATAAATTTGATAGCAATCTCTTGAAATTGTAAAACGAGATGGAATCTTGAATCTAGGTTGCAAATTAGACAAAAACTTTTTGAATCCCCTACCCTCTATATGCTTAAATGGAAGCTCATCTAGAATGATCATTTCAACTAAATCTTTTCTACTAACATTTGATCAAACTTCCATGTGGTAAGATTACTTTCTCCCGCTTCAAGCTTTCTTAGGTCTAATTGAGTTTGGGTAGAGTTTGGGTAGAGTTAATACAACTAAAAGGGTTTTTTTACAAGTCAAAACATGAGACCTAAGTGAAGTTGTCCCATTTTTTGAAGGATTACAAGCAAATACCTTATCACAATAATTACATTTAGCCTTCATGTTTTTCTTATCATCTTCAAACTTTATGAAATGATCCCACACCATCGATCTTGGCTTCATTGATTTCCTCTTCTTTCCTTTGTCACCGTCTTGAGTGTTACTTGGAGTTGCACTTGATTGTGGATTAGGATTGCTTGAATCCACGAGTTTCATAATTCATCTCTATGAATTGAGATTCCGACATCTACATAAAAAACATAAGAAAAGGAGTATTAAGCTTCATAGTTCACACTCTTTAGTCCTTAAGCTTAAGCCAAAAAAAAAAAAAAAAAAACAATCTAGCTAGGCGAGGAGGCACCAAGGCGGTAGGCTTTCATAAAAATTCTCGTAGAATCGAGAATGAAGTTTTCATTATGTACATGCCAAATCATGAATTAGTAATCGCATCCAATCTCCAAAAAAAAATCTCAATTGTTTCGAACTTTTTCTCGTTTTTTTTTGGAATGGAATATTTACTGAATCCCCATAAATAGCCAAATAGGATCAAACCTTATTCCATATTTCCATGGTATTTACCTCTTTCTTATTCTTAATCAAGTCTCCGAGAGGGCTTAATTGATCCATGATTTATATTTCATCTTTCGTTTTCTTTTCATTTGTTTCGAGAAATATAGCGATCCTTGTCTCTTTGGATTGTTGAGAACGGTCCTACTTTTCTAGTTTGTACAAGTCTTTTTATTTCACTCATTACTATTATTCCGGATACAACATGCCAACATAGTATGGGATTATTTGGACTACAAGAGCAAACCATATTACGGAGCAAGATTTGGTAAGTAATGGTCAACAAATTGGAATTCATTTATCAATAGATTTTTTTCTTCCATTTGAATTCATTTCAATAATTTCAAGAACTTATGTAAAGTTGTATAACTTATATTTGCTAGAATATATACAAGTGAGCAATAACGAGTAGGCCTATCGCCGGCAGCCGGTAGGCCTATCGCTCGTCGACGGTTGGCCTACCGCCCGAACAACCGCCAACCCATGAATCAAAAACTCCTTTAGATCAAAATCCAAGCATTACAAATCAAAAAACAACAACCTCGATAAGCAACACAAAACCAAAAACAAAAATGTATCAACGACTCTAGCTTTCACATATTTTCGCCCCAAATGAAAAACAGGAACAACCATATGGTCCATATCATCTACAATTCATGAAAATAAACGAACCCAAACGATCACATTAATCTCATGACTAGCATGGTTAAGACAAGATAATTATAAAAGAAAACAAATATACAATGCAACAAATTATCAAACCGACCTATCATTTTAATGTTGAAAATAAGATTTTCTTGTTTTCTTGATTGGTGAGACAGAGAAAGAGTGATAAATATGGTTTGAGGCGATGGCGGCGAGCGGCGCCAGACAGCAGAGCAACGGCGGCGACGAGGGACTTCGGGCGAATCGGGCCTATGCGAGTGGCGGCGACAAGCAGACGGCGAGGCAATGGCGGGGAGGCGGCGAGGGACTTCGAGCCTAAGCGACGAGCGAGCGAGGCAACGGCCTAACAAAGGAGTGACGGCGACTCGACGAGGCAACACCGCAACAGACAACGGCGACTGGCGACGAGGTAGTGGCGGCCGAGCGACGAGGGACTTAGGGAATAGGGAGTTAGGGTTAGGGATTTGTCGATTTTAGTTATTTGGAATTGGAATTTGGAAATGAGAAGAGAAATGGACAAATCGGTGAAATCACAAATGGTAAAAAACCGAAATGTAATCGAAATTTTGGTTTTCGGATTGAACCAAATTTTTTAAAAAACCGAACCGAACCGAAATAAATTTCGGTTTTTCGATTCGGTTATAAATAATAAATTTTAAATTCAAAACCGAACCAAATATCTTAATACGGTTTGGTTTGATTCGGTTTTGGTTAACCGAACCAGTTTGCACACTCCTAAAACTAGCATCATGAATTTAATTTTTTCTTTGAATTGATTACTCAATCATATAATTTTTTTTATCAAACTAATCATTAAATATTTAAAAAATAAAGAACACATTATTTATTTAACCAAAAAATGAGTTCTCTCTTTTTGCTCAAATTCATGAAATCCGGAAAAACCCAAATACGGCACCGTATCAATTAAAACAACAACCCTCTTCCTCCCTTTCGTTTTCCCTTCTCCAGAACCTTAAAATAAAATAACCTAACCCTAGACTAGAATCAAACCAACACAAAAAAAAGGTCTCTTCTTCTCCTCTTCCTCCCCTTCCTTTCTCTCTCTATGTTCCCTTGCATAAACTTTCTCTTTTTCCATAACCAAAGAGAGGGTTTCATCATTAAATGCTCTCTCTCCTTGAACCCATCAAAGTCTGCATCTTTTTCATGTCTTCAATCAACCACACCCTTCTTTTCTCTTGTTCACTCTGGACCTGGTCTCAAACCCTTCTAACTTTTATCATACGACTTGTCGTTTTTGTTGCTTCTTTAGCTTTCCTAGTCCAGAGAGGATACAACTTTAATACTGATTATACATCAAATTTTGGTTTTTTCACTCATTCTAGGTTCTCAGGCTCTGTTTTTTGCACGAAATGAGCGATTCTAAGGTGAGTTTTTTCTCTTTTTGTGTTTCATTGTTTTTTAGTGCTTAGAGTTTTGATCTTTGTGAGCTTTTTGAATGTGAGTTTATTTTGTATGAGGTTCAAAGATGGAAAATATTAATGGGTTTTGTTGTTTTGTGGCTTAGTTTGTTAAAAATTGGAACTTTAATGGGGTTATGTGTTGTCAGTTTGGTAATAATATATATTGGTGTGTGCCCAGATGCATTTATGATTGTTTTGCTTAAGTTTGTTTGTTTGCTTTTTTTTCTTTTTCTTTTTTTATTTTTTTGTGATTTGTGATGTAACTTCTGGCTTACTACTGTAGAAGGTACTGCTATTTGGTTCATTCACTGAAGATGAAACGAAGTCATTGCTGCGAAAGCAGTCCTCTGGCAATGTTGAAACGCCGGTAGAGCAGACAGAATTGCAATTTGGGTCTTTGAATCTTGGAACTGGAATAACTTTTGGTAATTTTGATACTGCCTTGAATACGCAATTGGCTTCTGGGAATGGGAATGTTACTTTTCACTCTAAGAGTTCAGTTAAGAAGGAAAAAGATGTAAAGGTTGCAAAGAACAGTGATGGGTTGTTAGGAAGTCCGCAAGTAAATGGAAGCATTGGCAATTCAAGCCATGGTTCTCCCCTTAGTAACGGTGTGGATGTCTTGAAAACTGAGAGTATTGATTTGAATTCTTTGCATTTGTTTGAGAAGGAAGATGGTCCTGCAAGTCCATTGCAAAGTTCGAGCTTTCATGTCCTCAATAGTGAAGGTATCGAGGATGAGGATCACGGTGGGACTCGCAATGATTCATCAGTACATGTGAGGAAAGAGGATGTCTGGAAATCAACTGATGGGCCTGTTACTGATGTTAAGAATTTACTACCCCGTGGCCTGATTAACTCAGGGAATCTATGCTTTCTTAATGCAACTCTGCAGGCTCTCTTATCCTGTTCCCCTTTTGTGCAGCTCTTGCAGGAGCTTAGAATTCGTGACATCCCTAAGGTTTGTCATTTTAATTTCATCCTCTCTTTTTCATGTGCTTCTTCATGGTTTTAGTGGTGCAAACAATGCATAAATTTGTTAGCAATAGAACACTACTGTCTATTTTGTTATTCTGAAGATAAGTTTTATGAAAAGGTCCACATGTTTATGACAGCTATGCTTTTGTTGAACAATTATTTGCTAGGTTGGCTTCCCGACATTGAGTGCATTTGCAGAGTTCGTCTCTGATTTTGACATGCCAACCAGTTCAAACTTGAAAAAAGATTCAGTTGAGACTGGTCGGCCTTTTCGCCCTGCCATGTTTGAAGCTGTTCTTACGAACTTCACTCCTGATGTCCCAAATAGCATATCTGGACGGCCAAGGTTTGTTTTTTCACTGTTCTTGTAATTTTTCTCTCTTATATCCATTGAGTATATCCTTCTGCTCTTACCCAGTTGTAACTTTAGTAAAATGGTGCCTTTATGATATGATGCTTTTGAATACTCTTTTTATAGGGCTAAGATAGGAAATGTGTTTAAATTTTGAGTTTTAAGGAAGTGCATACATTTTATGTAAAGATCGCTGTGTACCTTTTTTCCTCAAAGTAGGACCTGTATTCTTCCTCTGCTGCCATATCCCCCTTTGCTGTTGATTTTTATCTTAGTAATCTAAATCACTGTTATTTGAGTCTATGGTGAGTGAACGGAAAAAAGAATTCCAGTTTGTAGAAATACTTAATACAAATGGTGATTCTGGCCTGGGAAAGACCATGAATGAGATGAAGTTCAGATAGACCATCAAGATGAAATAGAAGCTGGAAATAGATACTGTAAATGTCTAGCAAGCTTAGCATCTGGCAAGGAATAGGTAGTTTGGACAATTATTCAGTCTGACCTGAAAATGATAGTACTTGCACTGGAGGTAGAGTCTAGAAGGCTGTGTTAGATCATCATTATTGACAACATAGATAGGGGCCTGACTAACCCTCTTTGTGACTTGTTTGCGATGTTTTGTTTTGGGCTGGCATAAAGGCTAGTATACTGGGTTAGGCTGAGAAATGCCAAATCCTCTGTGACCAGATGTGATGAAAGTTAGCACTGCCCGTTGGATCAAGAGACATTTATTTCAATACAGTTCATGTGCTAATGATTTTAGCTAAAGTAACTTTATGTAATTTTTTCGTCTTGGATGAGAAATAAGTGTTGACATGAATGCGCAACTAGAAAAAGTTATTGTTAATTTGATGATAGGAAGATGAAGTTGTTGTTATGAACTTGGTGAAGGTTAGGCCTGTTGATATTTCTTTCTACGTTATGTTTTCAGGCAGGAAGATGCTCAGGAGTTTCTGAGTTTCATCATGCATCAAATGCATGATGAATTGCTTAAGCTTGAAGGACAATCTTCTGATACAAATGGGTTTAAAACCTCCGTAGTTTCTTCTACAGAAGAAGATGAATGGGAGACAGTTGGCCCAAAAAACAAATCTGCAGTGACTAGAACGCAAAGCTTCATTCCTTCGGAGCTAAGTGATATTTTTGGAGGACAGTTGAGAAGTGTGGTGAAGGCAAGAGGTATGAGTTTTTGCAATCATTAGGCTCATTTTCTTTTTCAGTTGTTTCTGGACGATTTGACATATGTTTTAGTTTTTGCTCTTTCAGAAGGAATTAGCTTTTTGGGCAATCTAAAGGATCTGAATCAGCTGAATGTTAGAATTTTTTTGGATTCCTCTTTTTGTTATTCCTAAGTACTTCTCCTATTCCACGGGCTTTCCTAATAAAATACTAATTTTACACCGTCTATTATTAATAGGGTATTGCTAAATCCACCATATGTTTTGCTATTCCCACCAATTTTTTATTTTAAATTACTAACAAACCCTTACATCTAATCACTATTTGGTCACTAACTTGATGTGTGGTGGTGTATTGTTAATTTACAATAAAAAATTTGGTGGGAATAACAAAATATCTGGTGGATTTAGCAATACCCTTATTAATTTTGTATAAGGTTCCCACTATTCTGATGGAATAGCTTGCAAACTTGTCCAAAATGGCATGCTAGTCAACTATGAAAATTGAATTATAACTAGTGACTGTTTATAACACAGCATGCACAGGGCAAGGAAACCCATACAATTGTGGTTGTCATGCTTTTAGTCTAATGGAACCTTTCTTATATAAAGCAATTACTCAAATTCCTCCCTTGTTTCTCCATCTCATCCTCTCCCTGAAATCATCTTGCCAATCATGCCAGCTTTTTGGATCGGCATTTCTTATCTCCTTTCCTGCTGGACACCCCATATTAGGCCCAGGAGTATTTACTCTATCAACTGTTGGTAAGAAAATCAATGTTGAAGCAGCATAACATCAAAATGCATTCATTTAATGAATGGCTTCTATTTTGTATGTGCCTCACTGTATATGTGGAGCGTTTGGCAGCTTTTTCTTTCTTTCCTTATTTTTATTTATTCTAGGAAAAATATGGATGGAATGGGTTTTTTCGGTGTAGTCCCTATGGCTTCATACTGATATCACATCCTTAATGTTTCCTTTTGTGTGGTGCAGGAAACAAAGCTTCTGCAACGGTTCAGCCATTTTTGTTGCTCCACCTCGATATTTGTCCTGAAGCTGTTCACACTATCGAGGATGCACTCCATCTGTTCTCTGTACCAGAAAATCTTGAAGGTTACCGGACTTCTGCAATGGGGAAGGTATTCACTGCTCCCTTAACGAATGAAAACAATTTAAACTTGCATCATGGTTTGGTAGATTACTGTACATCTGTGAAAATACTTTTTGAGTGTGACATTGTTATGATGCAACATCCTACTGGAAGTTTTTAGATGGATGATAATTTGACCAAAATTATTAATGCTCTTTCTGAGTGTCTTTGGACTTTCAGTCTCATTGTCTGAAGATTTGCCATTACTTGTCCTTGTGATAAGGATGATAATTTGACCAAAAAGTCATGATAGAGGTTACATTTTTATGGATGGCACTTTTTTTTTTTTGGCTATAATCAATTACCCTTTGTTGTACCTTACAGGGTGGTGTAGTGACTGCAAGAAAATCCGTCCAAATACAGACACTTTCAAAGATAATGATATTGCATTTGATGCGTTTTAGTTATGGAAGCCAGGGGAGCGCCAAGCTGCTCAAGCCTGTACACTTTCCTCTTGAATTTGTGCTGAGTCGGGAATTACTTGTTTCCCCTTCGACAGAGGTAACCACCTTGCATTTTTTTTCTTCTTCCACTCATATTGCATAATCTTTTTGTGTAGAAATCTAGTTCCACTTTCAACAAATTATGGCCCTTTTAATGTGGAACTGAAAAGTGATTGTGAGTTTTGTACATCGGCTACAAAATACCAATTTACAATATTCATGTTTGATCTACACAACTATGATGGAAACATGCTCCCTTTTAATGGTTTGCGATTTTTTTCTTTTTTGTTACTTTCCACTTTCAACCCACGCAACAGTTATTTGTATAGTTCCAAGTGTCTTCCCGGAATTAGTGTACAGTAGGGAAATGTCATATTCTAAAGCTGAAAGCTATTGTAAATGCTACTTTCGTGCAGTTTCTGCAACCAGCTATTCTATTGTCTAATCAAATTGAAGTCAGAATATTGTTCTCGGTTAATTCTTACTGGGTTTCTTCTGTTTGCATTTACAGAGCCGAAAGTATGAACTTGTTGCCACAGTAACTCATCATGGGAGGGAGCCTTCGAAAGGTCATTATACAGCTGATGTATGCCACTCTAATGGCCAGTGGCTACGTTTTGATGATGCATCTGTCACCACCATTACGACAAGCAAGGTTTTGCATGACCAGGCTTATGTTCTCTTTTACAAACAAGTTTAGAAGGCAAGGGAGGAATTTTGTCATTAATTCACCATGTAAAAACGAGAAATCTTCTGCGTTCCAGTATTTAATGGATAAGCTATTACTCACTTATCAGCTAGTCAGCCTGAGACACTTTGATGGAGGTCAGGAAATGCTAATACTCCAGGGGCGAATGGGAACAGCAGCCGTCACATTTTTTTTTTCCTTTTTCCGCTTTATATTGTGAATGCAACTGATGTAATCAAATCTCCTATGGAAATCACAAAATTATATGGAAGTTTGTGCTATTTAATTTAGAAAATGATTCATACTATGAAAGACCTCTCAAAGGCTGCAACCTTAATCTGTCTGTCGCTTGAGCCTTGAAATCTCATATTCAAAAGGCTAATTAATTTCCCTGCTGACTTTCGAGTGAAAAAGATGCTAGGTTGTGTTTCTGTTCCATTTCCTTCTCTTTTTAATCCTGAGGCAGATGCTTGGAGAAGATAGTTCAACATTATAAAAAAACCAATCATGCAAGCATTACCTCTGTTTTACTTGTAGCTTTCAGGTTTTATCCAAAAAGTCAAATATTGCTTCTCTTTCTGTTTGTTGTATCCTCCAGCACCAGCATCAGTTACTAATAATAAAGCATAAAATAAGGCGAAGGCTGGCCAGAGCCAGACTACTGACAGAAGAAACTTGAAGAATTGGCAATGTGATTTCCAAGTTCTCAACCAATTGTAAAGCATGGTTTGTCTTGCTAATCAAAATTTATTAGTTGTTATTCAATCAAGCCAATCGCATATCCTCTGACTTTCATATCGTTGTCTTCAGACCAACCTGGAAATTTCCTGCTCATTTCATTACTCTATTTTTGTCAATTGTGCATTTTGGCACGTATGTAATTATAGATTGGGACATCAACATTCTGTTACGCATTGTTTTCAATGTTAAGCAACCGATTATTTTAAACCTAGAGCATGAAAATATGCATTTACTATTATTTGTAAACTTCTCAAACATTGTAGTTACTTCGGATTTGACAAAACCAAACTTTTCTTGATTGCTTACTCCTTTCATCATAGCCCTAACATCTTGCTTTCTGCAAATAAATCAATGGCCGTTGGGGAGGTATTTCTTGCAGCATTTGTGGGGATACTGTTTACAAAATTGTCAGCTCCGGAGTTATGGAAGTTCATAAGCCAAAGAAACTTTCGGAAACAGCTAGCGAAGTGGAAAAAAACATTACAGATGCTTCAGGCAGTGCTAGATGAAGCGGAAGAGAAGCAACTGACAGACCAGGCTGTAAGAATGTGGCTGCATGATCTCAGAGACTTGGCTTATGATGTTGAGGACATACTCGATGAGTTTGCCACTGAAGCCTTGCAACAGAAGTTGATGGCAGGAGATCAGCGTAGCACTAGTAAGGTACAAAAACTGGTGGCTGCTATTTTTTCTAGTCTGAATCCGAGTTCTTTGAAGTTCAATGTTAGAATGAGGTGCAAGATAAGGGGGTTCACTAGTCGGTTTCTTGATACTTGTGACCTAGTTGCCAAACTTGGTCTCCAAAGGAAACCCCTGGGTCCATCTACAAATTTATGGCAAAGAACACAGAGCACGTGTTTGCCAAATGGAGCTGGAATGTTTGGTAGGGATGAAGATAAGAAGAAGATACTGGAATTGATTTTGCTCAACGCAACCAGTCATGATGCCAGTTTTGATGTCATTCCTATCGTTGGGATGGGGGGAGCAGGAAAGACAACGCTTGCTCAGGTTGTATACAACCACAAAGCTGCTTACCATTTTTATCCGAAGGTGTGGGTTTGTGTCTCTACTGAGTTCGATGTTATGAGAATTGCGAAGGCGATTCTTGAGTCAGTCACCTACAACCCATGTGAGTTGAAGGAGTTCAATCAAGTTCAGATCAAACTACGGGAGGCGTTAGCTGGTAAGAGATTTCTTCTGGTTTTAGATGACGTATGGAACAAGAATTATGGTCTCTGGGAAGCTCTGAAATCGCCCTTCACGGCTGGAGCTCCTGGGAGTAAAATAATAGTGACAACGCGCTGTGTAGATGTTGCATTAACTATCGGATCTGTTGCTTATCATAAGTTGGAGCTTCTATTGGAGGATGATATCTGGTCTGTATTTGTGAAACACGCATTTAAGGATGGAGATGCTGGTGAGAACATGGAATTAATTCGAAAGAAGGTGGTTCGAAAGTGCTGTGGCTTGCCTTTGGCAGCAAGGACTCTTGGTGGCCTCCTACGCTCAAAGCCAAGAGATGAATGGGAAAAGATACTGGATAGAAAACTATGGAACTTACCAGATGAAAGTGACATTCTCCCAGTTTTACGATTGAGCTATCGTCATTTGCCTCCACATCTGAAGAGGTGCTTCGCCTATTGTGCAGTAATCCCGAAAGGCTATGAATTTGAGGAGGAAGAGCTAGTCCTTCTATGGATGGCAGAAGGTTTGATTCAGCAGAACAATGACAGCAGGCAGCTGGAGGACTTAGGTGGTGAGTATTTTCGTGAGCTTGTTTCAAGGTCTATATTTCAAGTGTCCAGGGATCGCTACGTAATGCATGACCTTGTAAACGATCTAGCTCGATGGGCTGCGGGAGAAACATATTTTGGGCCAGAGGATGAACTGGAGGCTCACATGCAACCTGAAAGATATAGTAGGTCTCGCCATTCTTCTTACACTCGTGATGATTATGATGGCATCAAAAAGTTCGAGGCCTTCCATAAAGCCAACTGTTTAAGAACCTTTCTACCATTCCGACATGGTGAGGCAAGCTACATAACTAATAGTGTCCATGGTTTGCTAACAAATTTGAAGAGTTTAAGGGTTCTAAGTCTGAATGGTTATAACATCTCTGAGCTGCCTGGTTCCATTGGGGACTTGAAACTCTTGAGATACCTGGACCTCTCTTCCACCATGATTAGAAGTTTACCAGAGTCAACAAGTTCCCTATACAACTTGCAGACATTGATTTTAAGGGACTGTTCTTATCTCACAAAGTGGCCTTCAAAAATGGGAAACTTAATCAATTTGTGTTATCTTGATATTACAGATGTGTATTTGATAGATGAGATGCCATTGGGGATTCAAAATCTTAAGCGTCTTCACAAACTGTCTGATTTTGTTGTCAGCAGAAAAATTGGGCATGGGATAGAAGAGCTGATGGATTTAAATTCTCTCAGTGGAACACTTTGCATTTCGAGGTTAGAGAATGTGGTTGATCCTCAGAGAGCACGACGGGCCAATTTAATGGAGAAGCAGGATCTAGAAACTTTGCTGCTGAAATGGAGTTCTGATATCACTGATTCACGAGATGAAAGGATTGAAAAAGATGTATTGGACATGCTGCAACCTCATCGAAAGCTGAAAGAGTTGACAATCAGCTCTTATGCTGGCACAGAGTTTCCATCTTGGGTTGGAGATCCTTCCTTCTCTAACATGGTGCTTCTAAGTTTAGAAAACTGTGAAAATTGCACATCCTTGCCGGCACTCGGGCTTTTAAAATCACTCAAGGACCTTGTCATCACTGAGATGAGTGCACTGCAGAGCATAGGTCGTGAGATTTATGGGGAAGGCTGCTCCAAGCCTTTTCCATCACTGGAGACTCTTTATTTCGGAGACATGCCAGAATGGAAGGATTGGAATGCCTACGACATAGAATATGCTGAAGTTTTCCCTCGCCTACGTAAGCTTTCTATCTTGAATTGTTTTCAGCTACTGGGAAAACTACCATATCATCTTCCTTCATTGGAAGAACTAGTTATTCGTGAATCCAAGTGCTTGTCGGTTTCTATTTCAAGTTTTCCAAAACTCTGTAATCTAGATGTTGATGGATGTAAGGAATTAGTCTGCAGAAGCACGATTCAGTTTAGCTCACTCAACTCCGTGGTTCTTTCCTCCATTTCAAATTTCAGTTTTCTAACTGAGAGCTTCATGCAAGGGTTAGCAGGAGCTAAGAATTTGAAGATTACTGGTTGCCAAGAGCTCACATCTTTTTGGCAAAATGGAGTCGGATTGCTACAACACCTTAGTTCCTTACATTATTTGAAAATCAAAAGTTGTTCAAGACTTGTTTCCTTGACTGCAGAGGAGAAAGGACAAGAGCTGAAATTAGGCTTGCCTTGCTCTCTTAAAGTGCTGAAGTTAATTGATTGTGAAAGCCTTCGGCAACCATTAGCTTTGCATGGTTTCAGATTCCTTGAAGAGCTACATATTGAAAAGTGTGCAAGACTCGTTTCCTTTGTTCAAACCACTTTGCCTTGCACTCTTAAAAGGCTATGCATCAGTTACTGTGATAATTTGCAGTGTTTGCTGGAGGAGGGAAAGGATGCCAACATCAGCAGCACATCTCTTCTTGAGTACTTGGATATCAGGAATTGCCCATCTCTCAAGTGCTTATCATCAAGAGGAAAGTTACCTGCTCCTCTTAGACACCTTGTAATTTGGGACTGTCCAGAACTGGTTTCAATAGCTGAGACATTTTGCAACATGTCTCTTGAACACATTGAGTTCAGATATTGTGTGAAACTCACAAGCTTACCTGAGGGTCTGAACAAGCTCAGTCAGCTTCAGGAGGGCTTCCTGCCACCAGTCTGAGAAAGCTCTACATAGGCTGGTGCGAGAAGCTAATGGCTCTTCCGGAAAGATTGCAAAATCTCACCTCTCTTGTAGAGTTGGATATTCATACCTGTCCAGGCATTGTGTCCTTCCCACAAGAGGGTTTCCCAACAAATCTGACATCACTTCTGATCACAAATCTCAACTTCTGTAAGCCTCTCTTTGACTGGGGATTACATAGACTCACCTCTCTCTCTCGCCTCTTCCTTACTGCCGGATGTGCACATATTTTGTCTTTTCCTTGTGAGGAGACAGGAATGATGCTGCCAACTTCTCTAACCAGCTTGTCCATTGTAGATTTCCCCAATCTGCAATACTTATCCTCCAGTGGTTTTCAGTGCCTCGCCTTCCTTCAAGAGCTTTGGATATCTGATTGCCCAAAGCTCAAATCCCTACCAGAAAATGGCCTGCCTTCCTCACTTTTGGAACTGTACATTCATGACTGTCCCCTGCTAAAACAGAAATGCAAGAAGGTTACAGGAAAAGAGTTTCCCAAGATGGCACACGTCCCTTGTGTGTATATTGATAACAGCTTCATTTATGATCCAGATGAAGAAGAGTGAATTCCATTTATTCTGTCATTTTCCAAATAACAGGCACTCAAAAAAGCCTGCTAGTATAATAAGCAAGAAGATGATGATGATCTTGGTAGCATGTTATGTAATCAAGAGTTCAAGTACATATTTATTCTCTGTTCCCTTCTTTCTATTAGCTTATTTTTCTGGTTTATGTTCTTGAGAAGATTTGTCAATTTTATGATCATTACATGGCTGAATATTGATTGTCAAATACTGATGTAAAAGAGGGGTTTTCCAGATCTTCTAAGCTCCTGCAAATTGATATTGGCCCATCTCAATAATCTTTATGAGCCTCAAGCCCTGGTCCAGCCAGTGGTTTTCCAGACATGACTCTTTTTGAAAGGAAGTGCAGATGCTTCCTAGTTCCCATCACCATCCCATAATCTTGGATTTTCATGTCACTAGTCAATAGAGCCCCTACTTTTGCAGTCATAAATGTTCTGTGCTGGCTGATAAAAGTTCCTGTTGCTGTCTGACTGTTAAATGCTACTTCTAAGTTCCAACTCTGCTGTGATTGAACTTAAGGAAGATTTTGGACTAATTCAAGATGGTTTTATCCTTTGTATTGATCCATTACCGAGAAGGCATAATGAATTTCATGGACTATCTGATATTGGGCTTGTAAGCATGTATAGAGAGGCTGGCTAATAGAGCTAAGCCATGATCTGCATCTTAATGAGTTGCAAGTTCATTTCAGGTTCTTGGATCTACAGTTTTAAATCGTGTAAAAACATGGTTGCAATCGTGATTTATGCCAATAGTAAACTGTACATATTTTATGAGTAGATTATAAAGTGTAAAGGTTGAAATTTTGGGGTTTTTTTTATTTTTAATATAATGATGTAAATAATAACAAATAACAATGCTATACAAGATGACATCGTTATACATGTGAAATAGGAATAGATTCTCCATAACACTGAAAAATTATAATAAGATATTCTGAAATCGTTATATAACAACCACTAAACCGTTATTATTTGAATCTATGCATTAGATCCAACTAGCATCTTTTTTGAAATTTCGTTAATTAAAGAACCTAAAAAAATCAGAATAGTTTTTCATACTCCATTAAAACATATCTATCTCAGTTAGAACTGCTTAAAGAATCAACTTTGCAGATAATAAGGACAATTGCTAGTGAAGATTCGTTGGCATAGAAGAAAATATCTTCCCATATGATATTTACAGATGATTCGTTGGCGTAGAAGAAAATATCTTCTCATATGATATTTACAGATGATTCATTGGCATAGAAGAAAATATCTTCTCATATGAATATTTAAAGACGTCAAAAAGTTTGTGCCTGGAGAATTGTTTTTTGATTTGAAATTCTCCCTTTTGTCTTTCTTGCGTTCTTGCATGTCTCTATAATCTAATTGGAATGTTAGTCCATTTCCTTCTTTTTTTGCCCCCCACTTGCAATTTTCTGATTCTTCTGAAAGCAGGGCCAACAAGCAAGCATTTTTCACAAGATAACCAATGATAAATTCATTCCATTCAAGTTTGTCAACCTAGGAGCCTAACTCGACCAAATTAAATTTGGAAAAAAAATGTTTCTTTCCAAAAAGGTCTTGAGTTGGTTGCTTGAACTTTTTGAATGGTCCCTGAAGATCAGAATAGAAAATACTAAAAGAATATGGCATCCGCGTTGGCTGCATTCCTTTAAAGTTTTGTTCCTGTTTCCTTAATGGCTGCTTGATTTCTCCTATTATATAACTCAAAATGGAATATTTTTTCACATACATAAAAGAATAGAGTGGCCCAGTTTAAGAGGTTTCTTGATCTTTACGCTGAAAACTGTTCTTTATACCCAAAGAAAATTATGCTGTTTCTACTGTTTTGGTAAGGGGGACCTATTTATGCTTTGCATTAGTTGGTATATCTTCCTTCCTTTCATATGAATCAATAGACTGTTTAAGTGTTCCCTTTTCTTTCATAGCGTTTTTCTTTTCTAGGGTTTTTTTTTTTTTTTTTTCTCCTCAGTTTGAGCTACAATGCAAAGATAAAGCAGTGTGGCTAAAGCCAGACTGGTTGGTTTGAACAGGACAATGGTAAACTGATTGCGGGTTCAACAAGCTGAATGGTTGCTTTATGATGAGTTAAGATACTGCCCTTAAATTTCTCTGTTAGGGCCATTTCTGGTCCAAGATAAACAGGAAATGGCTAAAGTATTTATATCGTGACCGACAATTGACCGACAAAAACTTGTTTATTCCCTCAGACGTGTTGGAAAAATTCCTGTGAAATATAGGTTCTTTACTATAGTTCTACAGTGAAAACCATAGAGGATGAAAACAGAAGAAAAAAGGACTAAGCTCCGAGAAATTGCTGGTATTAGTTTCTTTCTTTGACTTGCATCCATAGTCTTAAATCGCGGATGCGGTTATAAAAACGATCGCATGTTGTGGTAATAAAATAACGATTAAGACAATTGATGTCTTGAATATATTAGTAATTTTTAATAAATTTATTCTAAAGTAAATAATTAAAAGTTTTTTTTTCTTTTTTAACAATAATAAAACCTTCATTATTTGAGTTGTTATTCACCAAATAACAGCAATAATGGTTATTTAGGTGAAACACCGTTGAGTTTTCTATAACACCATCTAACGAAAAATAAAATATCCGAATCTATTAAATAATGATTGTTATGATATGTAACGAATGTTATTTGGAACTATGTTGCATCTCTAGCTGGCAAAAGAAAGTAGAAGAAAACAGAATGGAAATTGCTTCCCAATTCCATGGAGTAGATTCCACTGTTGTGGAAGTTGCAGACAAACTTGTCAAAAGAAAGTTGAAGAAAGCAGAAGTTGCTTTGCAAAAATTTCTTAGTGTAGTTTGCCAGCTTTTTTACAAAAAAAAAAAAACCTCAGATTGCAGGCTGCAGCAGATTAGGAAAAGCACTTAAACCATCTTGTTAAAATTAATAACATTAACAGCATGCAGATGCCTAAACAATGAAGATCTGTTATATTTTCCAGATCCTGTTCCGAATTCTACAAATGGCTGTCGGCTTTCGGAGGAAAATGTTAATAGAGAGGAAAATGATTCATATCCATTGATCTATAACAAGGATGCAAAGAAAAAGCTAAAGTAAAATTAATACAATAGGCCGAAGCTAACTACACAATTAAGGTAAAGAATGTTGATAAAGGTTGTAAGAAACCTGAGAACGTATCTTTAGTGTTCTTTTCCTGTGTAGGTGGGGTAGCAATGTCATGTTTATCTGTGACAAAGCCATGTTCTGTGGTATTTGTCCGAAAGCTCATCATTAAGATTAATTTTGTCTTAGCAAAACACAGATTCCAAAACAGGAATTTTTTTTAACTCTGCTGAACCACTGAAATTATGCAAATCAATCATGTAAATGACAAGAATAAATATTTATTTCAGATTCCTTCAACACACTAATTACAATTTATAGAAATGTAAAACCAGTATAAGACCCAATTCCAAGGGAGAAAAAAATATAGTTAATTCACACCACTCTAACATATCCCACAGATTTTGCTCTAGATGAGCTGCATCCAAGGTTTAACCCTAAAATTAACATACCAACAAATCAAAATCTGGAAAAAAAAAAAAAAAAAAAAAAAAAAAACTCCAAACTGATCCTCTAAGACTTAAATTTTCCCTATGCTTTTCACACTTGAATCTTAATCAACAAGTATAAGACCAATTTAGAAGCACTGCAAACACATGAAAAAAAACTGGGAATCAGTGCTTGAAGACTTAACCCTTGAAAATCTCACTAACACAAGCTGATGGACTTGTCCTCTGTATTCTGCAGTGCAGAGTGCCTGGGCACCCACCAGACCCTTAAACTCTTGTCAAGGCCACCACTGTAAAGCAAGAACCCACCCCCAACATTATTAGGCGATGCTTGTAAACACTTGACAGGCCCTTCATGGCCATTTATGATTCCAACTTTGGAAAGCTTACCAAAAGCCTCTCTTTTCCATATACCAATGTTCTTATCAGCTGATCCACTAAACAAAAACTCCCCCATCAAACACATGCACAAAACAGCCATTTGATGTGCTTTTGTCTCAGAAACCAACTTCCAGCTCACAAAATCATAACTTCCCTCCCACCCCATCACAAACCCATCTGACCCTCCTCCATAGACCCACTTTCCATCATCTGAAACAATCACTGAATTAAGTGAAACATCTCTATGACCCTCCAAAATCCCCTTCAAAGAATGTGTACTCTTTCCCTCTTTCCCCCATGCCTTAATTTTCCCATCTGCAGAAGCTGAATAAACTATCCCTTTACAAGCCACCAATCCATTTATAGCATCATCATGAGCCTTAATTGACTCCAAACACTTCAAATCTGATATCTTCCAAACCTTAAGAGTCTTATCCCAAGAACCAGAATAAACCAATCCATTATAAACAGTTAAACAAGAAATACTATCAGCATGTTCTATCCATAATTTCTTATGATGTCTCCTAGTTTGCACATAATTACTTTGCTTCATAAACTTCCCTAAATAATCCTTGGTAGTAGGAAGTGTATCAACAAGCCTAAACACATTTTCAGACCTTCTTGACACCTTCCATACTCTAATTCTACTATCTTGATGAGCAGTAAAAACCTTATGTCCAACAGTAACTAATGCCTTAACAGAACCATCACCTTGACCAAACTTTGTAAACAACCTCAAATCAGGCTGCTGCCAAACTATAATATCCTTACCTTGAGAAGCGCTTAAAATAAACTCCCCACATAACGCCAAGCAAGAAACTGATCCAATATGACCTGATAAAACAGCCAAAGGCCTATATGAATAAGCCCCAGATAGAGATTTTCTTGGAAAATCATACTTGACTTCTTGAAGCTCAAAACGAAACGATGTTGCTGGGCTATCTTCACTGGCTTCACTGCTGCTGCTACTAGTACTCATGCCAATAGTACTTGTAGCTGCTGCAAATAGTAATGGGGTTGAAGGAGTTGTGATTTCTGACACAAGAAGGTCCATTGAAGTGACCATAAATCAGCCTTGAATCTGTGTCTGACAAAGGGGTTTTCTTGTTGTTTTGAGAGAGAAAGAGAGAGGAGCGGAGAGAGACACGGATTTCTTGAGGGAAAGAAAAAGTGTTTGCTCAGAGATTATTTAACTGGTATATGAAGGAGGTGTAACGGCTACTTTGAAAATGTTAGTTTGATCATGAAAAGTAAGCTATGGGACCTCTATTTTTTAATCTCTTTAATGGACGATTGAGCTTTCAGTTCTTTTATTATTTATTTATTTTTTTAAGCAATGATGACAATGATGGGGGATCTATATTCACGAGACACAAAATTCTTGTTTTACCAAAAAAACAGAGAATAAACCTGCAGATGAGGAGTTTTGAAGAAAAACTAGAAACCCTAGTGGAAAAAATGGGCAGAAGACCTAAGAAAAATATCGAATGGGGAAATTCTTGACAAGCAAATTGATAAATTTTTTGTTTCAGTAGCAAGGAAAAGTTTTAAGGTGTTTTCTGTTTTAGAATGTCGTGAAACTTTTCCTTATTGAGTACTGTCAATCAATGAGATTTTTGCCTTACATGATGGATTCATTATTCATGACTCATTGCACAATAAATTAGCTGGAGTAATTTTGAAAAATAATAATAATAATTTATTCAATGATACTTAAATTTGTGATGATTAAAAAGGGAAAAAAATATAGCTCGAATATTAATTATCTCTTTTTAAAGTAGAATTATTGAATTTTATAATACTCAAATAATAATTATCAATAATAAAAAAAAATTTAAAAAAAAGAGTTTAAAAAGAAATATTGTTATCATTTTTTGTAGATCAAATGTAACTTTTCCTCTTTTTATGTGTCTTTTTTTTTAAAAAAAATATAGTTTCATAACAGAGAAAAATTATAATTTAAAATAGAAATATTTTTATCAGTTTTAATAGATTTGAATGTGATTTTTTTTATATATATAAAATAAACATTAATAGTTATTTTTTGAGTATTTAAAAATTTTCAAGAAAAAATATCGTATTTGGTTGAGGTCTAATGAATTTTAGACTGCTCGATTCCTATTAACCGAAAGAAGCTATCTGATGCCAATTATTTAATGAAAAAAAAAAAAAAAAACTTTAACTAGCATATATAATAGAAAGTCAAAAATAGCTTGGGCTGTGGGCTTTTGGACCACAACCAATAAAAGTATCTGCCAGCTTCCAAGAAAGGTAGACAACATCGCCATGCTTCTTCTCCTGTCAGAAACAGAACATAGGAATTCAGACATTCTCTCTCAAAAACCTGATCTTTGTTTTCTTCACCTTAAAGTTGCCTAAATATTCTTTTAATCAGAAAAAGAATGTTATTCTTTTCTTTTTAGAATCCCTTTTGCCCAACAAAATTCTTGACGTGGTGCAAATCTTGGTTAAGTAAGAGTTAGTGGAGCACTAATCGTCATTAGTCATTCGATCACATGATTCACACCAATCACAATCACGTACTTTTTTCTTTAAACACAGAAATTATTAGAGAGAGAGAGACGTTCAATTAATCACAACTTCACAAGAGCCACCAACTTTCATTATTGACACCACTATGACTAATTTTGATTAATAAATTACTAATCTTTTTGTTTATTGCATCCATTTTTTAAATTACTTCTAGAGCGGTCGGTCATTAGCATACTATTCTGGAAATGTAATAAAAAAAACATGTATGAATGTGTATGCGTTTCCCATGAAATTGTTAAGAGAAGTTTCTAGGAAAAGCATGAAATTATTTTATAAGGGAAATGGTCAGATATTTGTTTATATAATGGAGTGAGTTTTCAATATGTTTTTTTATATTCTCAGTTCAACTAATTCTATCCTTATAGAATGAAAAAACAAAAAATCAATCTATTATTCTGATAATTTTTTCTATCCAAATTAGCATAATCAATCATGCATATAACTTAAAATATACCAAAAATGGCAAACTCAATGGACAAAGAGGGCGATCACTTGAGAGAGAGAGAGAAAGGAGGGAGGAGGAGAGGGAGAGAGATTTGGTTCTATGCAATATATATATATATTTGTCACTTGTTTTGTATATGATTAATATGTTCGTAGAATTCATACTATTTTAAGCATACTATTAAGTTATATTTAAGACTGATTTTGTTAATTTAGATAGAAAATTTTAACACAAGAATTTATTTAATTAAATATATAAAAACAAATTGAAAACTCGTTTTATTACGTAAAAATAGATTAGACCATTTATGCCATTTTACAACCAATTTACATTGCACTAAATGTAAAATGTTAATTTTGGATTGAAAACATATATTAATCTTTATTTAATAGGGTTGAATTGAGTAAAAAAAGTTCTAATTTCTTAAACAAATGGTTTCATATTCGAATCTTTATATACAAAGAAATTTTTTGGATAACTCGTGTTTATTTTGTACCATCCAGGAAACATCAATGAACTAGTTTAGACTTTCATATTTGAGGTAACTTGGGGATCAAGGGAAAAAAAAGACATATTAATCCTTAAAAAAAAAGTTGGTAGACTTTGAGTATACATTTGAACAATGTCTGAAGACTTTGGTAGCATTTTTTTTGGGTCTCGAGATGAAAAGTAATAATACTAAACAATAAGATTGTTTAATATAGGAAGCAAACTAAATTAATAACCTAATTACATGCTTGCATGTTTCACTGGGTTGAATGAAAATAAATGTTGGCAGCCAATTTTTTTTTTCCCTTAATCTGCAATGTTGTACTTTTTATTTTTCAACATATCAATACAAATTAGTAGACTTCCCACCTCCTTCTAGCATACAATGATTGATTCCAGGAGAAACCTTTTTTAAAAAAAATAAAAAAACGACCCACGATTTTATATAGAGGAAGTATCAGTATTGCTGCCAAATAAATTTTTATATCAATTTTGTTCCTTAAAGTTTTAAAAATTCTCAATTAAGTATTTCGATCCATATTTAGTTACCGGGCTCCATTCAAATTATAATTTTTTTTCTTAGAAACACTGTTGTTTTATATGAAACTTGACGCTTTCTATTAAGAAATTCTAACAGAAAAACTCAATTGAGAAACTCAAATTTTTTGGGGACAAAAGGATGAAAAAATTATTGGGATTGAAAGTGACACTTCCCAATAATTGGAGGGTATATTTTGAGGTTAGCCCTTGATTTAAAAAAAAAAAAATGGAAAGGATTTGCCTTCAAGGAATGTGAAGCTGCAATGGACGGCTACATTATCATTCACCCAACTGTAATAACTTTGGTCATCAGACATGGTTACTTACTGTGTGACACATGTTCCATCTAGGGATGAACTAAGTTTTTTATGCTTTAATTTGGTGATAGTGCTTGAAGCTTATTGGCATGGCAGAACAAGCTTTCTGATGATCCATATGTTACTACGACGTTGTCTGAAAGCAAATATATTTTGTTTTGTTTTGTTTCCTTCCTGTAGTAAGTATAGTTGGTTGGGTTTGGTATGCTGGTTAAATATTTAACAAGGCATGCAGGCTTGGACTTAGATGGGACTGCGAGGTCTCAAGTTTCTCGTATTGGTGATGGGACATCAAACGTAAAGTTTTAGAATAATTAGTTGAAACTTCTGACGTACTTGATTACTTCAGGTGTTATTGACGTGAAGGAAGCTCCATGCCACTCATCAGTCATGGAATGAATTGTTTTTTTCAATGTATAATCAAGAATTCATTGCTCAAAAAGATTGGCTCAGATGCTAAAGAGAATAGGTATTAAGTTCGACTTTCGTTACTGATATTTATCTGATTTACAGATATATTCTAAATTTTGGTTTCCATATAGATACGGTAAAGATTTCTCTAGATGCGTAGAAGTGTAAAAAACATAATATTTTTTTTTATAAGACATATGGTCAACTTATATATATATACAACTTTTTGTACAAAATAAAAAATAAATAAAAATAAGCTTCTTGTTGTAATTATGTTCGAGTAAATTATAAATTAGACCCTTGTTTCAAGAAATGAAATAATTAATCCTCTTCATTTTAAAAGCTAATAATTTAACCTCTATATTTTAATTTTGTCAATAACTAAATTTTTTCATCATTTTTTAAATTAAATTAACGATTTTTTTTTCAAATTGCTCTTATTTTGATACCTAATTTTTTTTTTTTCACTCACTTTCTTTCTTTATTTTCAACCAAAAATCAAAATAAAGATAACTTAGAAACAAAAATCATTAATCTAACAAAAAAATATATGAAAAGACTGAATTATTGATGAAATTAAAATATAAAGAACTAAATAATTATTTTTAAAACAAAAAAAAAAAAAACTAATTAATTCGTTTTTCTAAACAAAGGGACTAATTTATAATCTACTCAACTACGTTTATTGATTTAAATTCACGCAGCATGATCTACAGGATGTAGCTTTGAAAAATGTTGATTCAATCATAAGCAAGGAAGTAATAGAATTCTAGCTCTTGACTTGTATGACAATGGAATCTGCTCACTCACTTGGAAGGTTTTTGCTCACAAAATTTAGTATCGAGAGAAAGTAGATGCAAGACATGTCAAGGAAACAGATTTTCCTTTCAAGACATGTAAAGTTGCAGAAGCTGTGTAAAGTAGGAGTGAAAGAACAGAACAATGACAACAACTATAAGTATTCCATGCAGCTAGACATTTTCGAACAAGTACAAAATTCCCGACCTCCTTTGGATTAGAGTAAGCTTTAGTCATTCGAAGGTGTATGTGTAGTTGTTGAGTTTGGAGTGTCATGGTCTAGGCATGCAGACTTGGGAATAAAATGTCTTCAAAGAAATGGTAATTGAAATCAAAGATGAAAGGCTAAATTGTAAGAGAAATCTCTTGAACTTTAACGAAAAAAACAAGTACTTCTCAACTAAGAAATTTCTGAATTCATCTCCTGAACATTATGATTTTTTGGATTCGTCCTTTCTATTAGGGTTTTATTGAAAAATTGACAAAATGAAAACCTATAAA